ACTAGTAGTAAGGCCAGGAGCTACTGGTAGCGTCCTTGCTCCTAGTAACGATGCCCTTTGTTACTGGTAGCTTCTTGTTGCTAGTTCATCTAGAACCTAGACCAAGCTTGTTCACTTCTTGCAGCCTGGTGCGTCTAGTTCTGGCGGCCTCCGACGAAAGAACCATCATCACACAGCGGTAAATGATTTGCATCTCGACGCGGAGGGGACTGAGGGCCAAAACGGGAGTGCCAAGTAAAATATTCGATTGTCTGCGAGCCTGGGCGACAAAGCAAAGACGACTTGGTTAAAACCGACGGGACTGCCTGAGCCCCTTCCTCTCTCTCTCTCTCTCCCTCTCTCCCTCCCAAACCCACTAACAACTTGCACGCCTCCTACCCTTGGCTCAAACTCCTATATGACCACTTCTAGACCTTGGTCTGGAGAACTTCAGCTCCAAACAACACAGAGAGCGAGCAAATGACGTACATTTTGATTTTTGGCTTTGCAGTCACTTGCAGCCACTTGCTCAGGCAGCCACTTGGCAGTACTTTGAGTTCTTTATGTAAAAACTGTAAGATTTCTTCGTCGCTAGCTCTGCAGAAGTTTAGAATGTATTCTTGGAAAAGTCTTGGATTATTTCATGATTTCTCCGCGCGCAGCTCGGGAGAAAACCAGAATTTCTTCGCAGAACAGCATTGCAGAAATCTTGCAGGTTTTCTTCAGAACTGCGTGCGGAGAAATCATTATATTCTCCGGACAGACGTACCAGTCACTTGCAGCCACTTGGCAGCCACTCAAGTGGCTGCAACATGGAAAATCAAAATGCGCACCTCCTGCGAGCTCAGTGAAACCATTCTGTAACCCTGCCCCATCTCGATGAAAAACAAGAACGACTGCCAAACGAAAAACAACATGTGACGGCATCGCCGATTCATCGCGATCCCATTTGAAGGGGGGAAGATTGGAAGTAAGGAGGTATCTGTTTGGCCGCCTACAGCATCCGCAGTCTTGATATTTCTTATATCTTCTACTCTTGGAAGGCAAGATCGAAGTCACCAAGAGTCATAACATTCTGACACACCCCTTATACCTTCGATCGTCAGAATGTGCAGCAAAACACCGCTCCAGATCAAAGAGCCTAGCGGCCTACCCCGACGCTTCAGCCTCGACGTCGAACCTGGTCACGCGACGTCAAAACACAGGGCCCACTGATCAGGGCTGAGGGACCCCTTGGCGTTGGAGCGCAAGTGCTGGTGCAAGGTTCGCACCGTTGTCACATCCTTGAAATTCACCTTAGTAAATCTGCAAACTTGGAGCACAAATCATTCATGCCTGGACAAGTGCACCATTCTTGAAAGTTCTTGAACACCTAGAACACCTTCCGCAAGGCTTTCGGAATTGTGTGCTCGTACCAAGGATTGACATGTCTGCTTCCCTCAACCAACCCAGACTTTGGATCCTGGCGGGTACGAACTGCAAGTTTTCGGCGAATTCCTGGTGCGCGGATCGTTTCAAGGGGTCGTCGTTCCGGGAGACGGGAGAAAACGAACACGTCTCCAATGAACACGTCTGCGCGCGGAGACAGTCCCGGAGGTCGCTGGGCTTGCTACACTCCTTTTCCAGGTAAGGCTTCAAACGGTTCTGGAGCCTCGGATGTGAGGCTTGCGCCGTTGAAGCAATAGGCACTAGGGCGCCCTACACCTGGGCCCAGGGTGAATGATTCATCCTGTGGGATTCTTGACTTCTCTTTGTAGCGGAGAACGACCCCGTTCACCGTCTTCAAACGGAAACTGAGCACCGTCGCAAGGTCTGTGCATCTGAGATGTGGCTGTGGTAGCCAGGATCATCACCTAAAGGTCACAAGCAAATCTTGTACACTCCCGAAAACTAACATAGACCCTGACAATGGTCCCTTGGAAAGACTACTTTCCTCTACCAAACCAAGGGTTTTCCACTTCCATGTTAGTGAGTCGGAGTGTCGTCTTTCTGTGAACGGTCCGTCTGCAATCTCCAGAATCCGAAGACGTTGTCTGTTGGCAGGACCTTTTTGGCGGCTTTGTCTGTGGGCCGAATCTCGCAAAAGGGAGTTGCTGAGACCCTTACAGGCCACCACTGAGATGTTGCTGGGCAGAACCCGGTTCAAGTGCCTCGGATGAGGATCAGGCTACGGCTACGAATGCCAGGTGCCACAACGCAAGCTGACCAGGCAAGGCAGGTCTTCCATGCAATTCCTGCAACATCTTGTCTCCCAATGTGCCAGTCAGCTAGCCGATACGAAGGATGCTTGACTGACTGCTTCAAGATGATTCAAACATACCACACCGTCCTTCTAGTAACAAGAAGCTACTAGGAACAAGTGCATCGCTTCTAGTAACAAGTGCCTGGAACAAGTGCACCGCTTCTAGTAACAAGTGCCTTACTCGTAGTAACAAGAAGCTACTAGGAACAAGTGCATCGCTTTTAGTAACAAGTGCCTTACTAGTAGTAACAAGAAGCTACTAGGAACAAGTGCATCGCTTCTAGTAACAAGTGCCTTACTGGTAGTAACAAGAAGCTACTAGGAACAAGTGCATCGCTTCTAGTAACAAGTGCCTTACTAGTAGTAACAAGAAGCTACTAGGAACAAGTGCATCGCTTCTAGTAACAAGTGCCTTACTAGTAGTAACAAAAAGCTACCAGGAACAAGTGCATCGCTTCTAGCTACAAGTGCCTTACTAGTAGTAACAAGAAGCTACTAGGAACAAGTGCATCGCTTCTAGTAACAAGTGCCTGGAACAAGTGCATCGCTTTTAGTAACAAGTGCCTTACTAGTAGTAACAAGGAGCTACTAGGAACAAGTGCACCGCTTCTAGTAACAAGTGCCTTACTAGTAGTAACAAGAAGCTACTAGGAACAAGTGCATCGCTTCTAGTAACAAGTGCCTTACTAGTAGTAACAAGAAGCTACTAGGAACAAGTGCATCGCTATGGAGGCAGGCCGTGGCGGCTTGGAAGTCTCACCTTCCTCACCAACCCGATCTGGGGGACCGCACAGCTGGAAAATGGAGGGGAAGGTCTTCTTTTTGGCCAAGTCCCCCGCTGCCTTACTGCTCAGTGGCAATGTCAACGGCCTGTTCGGACTGGGCTAAGGCATAAGGAACATGTTGAGCGAGCCATGTACTCGCACAAAGTACAGCAGGTTGATGACTGATGCAATCATAATATCCTGAGATGAGGCACGCCAAAAACCACCAAGTTCAAGTGAGTGTCCACCTTGATTCTGTCGCTGGGCAGTGCAAGGGGTCAAGCAAAGGGCAATGTTGCTTGGAATGATTGCCCCTCCTACCAAACAAGCCCCTTTCAGGTCACATACCTTCTGGGTATAGAAAAGCCTCCTCACTAACTGCCAGTTGCTGGAATGAAAGTGGAGTCGGCAACCCTGGAGAGGTGCTTCTTTGCGATCTGAGAAAAACAGAAAGATTCCGACGACCCGAGCCCAACCACTCAAATCTTTGGAGACTTGCGTGCAGCTGCAAGATTAAATATTAAACGTTACTAATATTCATAATAGCTATGCCGCTATGCGGCTATGCATAGCTCTGGTTTCTGCAACCAGTGCACATTTGGATCTCTCAACTCATCTACCCCAAGTCTTTCAGTGTTCACATTTTTCACATGCCATCTCAAACACGATCTCCCTGGATCGTCGACACAGTTCTGGGACGCCCCACATCTCTGCGGACCTGGGCAGTACAAACCTGAGCTGAATAGCTTTGTGGAAGTCTAGACGACGTCTGCGCCGCTTCGACTCACATTGTTCTACCCCGCTTTCCATTCTCGTTATCTTTTGTGTTGTATGATTGCTCATTAAATTTCTTTTATGTACACTGTTGTTTTTCCCATTTCTTTTCTCTCTCTCTCTCTCGCACATGGTGCACATAAACCAGTCGTAGCTCCAGTTGGCGGTATGACTCTTCGGGAGGCAACTACACGCCAGGAGTTTTGAAAGCACTTGGTGGGCACGCATATCTGAACTCCGTGATGAAATCCAACGGAGTATCTGCAGCCTCCTTGCAACAGGACAGCATCGAACATTCTGAGCCAAGCGATTTCGATACAATGGGTAGCTGGAAAACTTGGATGCTGTGCTCGGCCAGGTCGGTCCCGATAGGGTAGCGTGGAACGTGAGGAATGTCACTAGGAAACAAAGTAGGCTTGCAGCGGCGGTGCCAGTCTTTGATGTCCACCCACTACAAGTGACAATGTCGCCATGTGCGACAAACATGGTAATTTGAGTTTCATCGTTTCACCTTCAAAATCAAACACGTTTGCGGCCTTGCCCTCAAGATTCTTCTGGCTCAAGGATCGGCTGGCATCGAGCTCGTGGCGTGGCTGGGAGGTAGGGGGGTTACGAATCAAAGGATTGGGCACCAGCTGCCTGTGGTCCGATCTGCGTCTGAGCTTGCATAGCCAATTTAGCAAGGAAATAGACTAGACTAGACCAAACACCTACAACTGGCTGCTTCGTTGTAGCAGGGAATGCCCCACTCTTTCGAAACAAACATTGACTGTGCCAACATGGAAGGCAAAGTCATGGAATTGATCTTCTGTCGTCTTGGAGATCATTTGTCTGTGTTCTTCTACTGTTCGCTGCTCGTGTGCGGCTCTCACACACACAAAGTGCATGTTTTCTGTCTTACAACACCTGGAACTCCCCTCTCATTAGGCGCACTACGACCTTTAGTCAGTAGTCCTGGATACGCCTTGGGCCTGAACTGACTGGATAGGAATGTGGGATATTACAACAGGATATTATATATATTAATTATATATGTGGATGCATGACTGAATAACACATGTATACAAATCTATATAAAGATTGGATTGCAAGTGACGTGACAGTTTGGTGTTGATCTCGCCAGCAACCGATTCGTGCATCTCGCTCGTCTCCGGCCTAAAGCGCAATTTGGCTCTGGAACGCCTGAGTTGCTGTTGACAATTTCAATGCTTCGTCTCCGTCGCAGTGTTTTGCATACGCAGAACAAAAGCCGCAAACAATTGTCATGCCATCACTACTCCCTTACCCCCGGGGAGGGGTCAGGCACCGCAAGGGGGTAGTGATGTCATGCCACCATGCCCCGAAACATCCCAAACATCCACAAAACATGGGCAGAACGGCCGCCTTCGTAGCGGCGCTATCTGAACCCCACTGAGGCAGGAGACCCAAAGTCTGAGACTGGCATGCTTGACCTGGCGGGGGGAGAGTCATGACCAAGCGCCTTGTGATGAGAGTCACGGGCTTCTGAAGCCATGCGCGCATGAATGCGCATGACATTTATGTGGGTTGATTTTCTATTGGAGTAACTTGCGGTAACTTGCGCAATCGTCATCCCACCTGTGTGTGTGGTCTCCATGCACAGCATACCAATTACATACTGTGTGTGGGCCTTCTCCTTGACTTTTGGCTCTGCTGGCGGAATCGGCTCGTCACGGTCCCCTGAATGCCGCTCCTCTGTTCGTTGCATTCCTCGTGAGAAGACTTGGGGCTCTCAGGCCTTGGACAACTCGGAACAACACCCAGCACCCACAGTGCACATGTCTGTTTTGCTAATTAAGACTTGACTCTTCATTTTTGCGGTGAGGGGCGCTGGTTGGCACGATATGATATCTGATGTTCTTTGATATTTCTTTTGTCTGGAGTCAACTCTGTGGCTTCCCTGCGCATTCCAGGTCTCCTGGTCGGTTGCAGTTGCAAATGCAGGACAAGGTTAGGGAACAAACACTTGTAAAACTCATATCAAGTTGAGACATTGTGGTCAACCTACTGGTACCTGCAGCTATGAACTGGGTGCAAGTGACTTGCAAATACTAGAAGGTCACGCATCTTGGCATGCAAAGGCATCAGTTGGTGAATGTTGCGCAATACGTGATTCTTGTGAAGAAGTGGTACGACATGGGGCACTCTTTCTCTGCTTCTCTGTGCCAGCTAGCAATGGCTGTTCTGAACCAACGGCGGATGACCTATTGTGCGTTTCTGCTTTGCAGTCGTGACATTCTTGACAACTCCGCTTGGTGTGATTGGGGAGATGCTGACGAACCCCAACGAGGCTTTCTCCAAGAAAAGTGAGAAAGGAAAACAAGCAACAGCCCAGGAGAACTTGGCTAAACATACACACTCTTGGAGGCCACTTGTATATGGCCGGTTTTTGACTGACTTCGCTCGATTGCGAGTCACTTTTGATGCTACTGCTCATTGGTGACTGGTGACCCGCCTTATCTCCCAAGAAAATCACCTTGGCAGTGAAGACTCTTGAAGAAGGTCTAATGCATCGCCAAAAACATGTAACAAGTGCATGGCATGGCAAATGATGGCATATGGCCGTTTCACCTGCATTCCTGTAGTGCATCTGCCATGTACGTCTCGATCGGCGCCCCAGCCACATTCTGTGCATTCCGGAAGGCGGCCAGGTTCACCGAGATTCGGCGAGGCACCTGAAGGAGCTCAATTCCAGCAGCCACAATTTGAGCGATGCGAACACATGTTTTCGAACCATGTCCTGATTTTGCTCCAATAGTAAGGTGCCTTGCTACTACTAGCTTCTTGTTACTACCAGTAAGGCACCTGTTACTACTAGCGTGGCACTTGTTCCTACTAGCTTCTTGTTACTAGTTGTCCAAAACCAGTTGGTTGATGGTTGGATCCCAAGCCGGCGAAGTGCCAGTCGCTGCGCTTGACTCGATCCGCGACGGACTCTGAAGGACCACCGCAGGTCAACCCGCTTTGCGAGACGCAAATCCGCCTCGAATTCGCCCGTTTCAGTGCAAAGCACTTGTAGGTGCTTGGATGAGGCTGCATGCCATCTCAGCAGGACAGGCGGAAGAAGGGATGTTAGCTAGTTCATGAGCGAGCGAGAACATCATTCGACGTCAAGCTCTGTCTCTCTTTGTTGAAAAACCTGCGCTCAGCCAAAACGATCGACACGCATGTCGATTGTTGTGGCTTTGTGTGGCAGAAACGGGCATTGAAAGAAAGACAGAATCGCAAGGCCCAACACAATCATCTAACCTGTCGTGGCTTAGATTTGTCGGTCGGTGTGTTTCGAATGTTTGCTATGTGGTTGCCAAGTATTGCCAGGCACTACTAAGGGACCAAGTCGGACTGAATGATCAATCACTGCAATAGCGGGTGCAACAGCGAGTGCTCCTGGCCTCTCTGGGTGGCCTGCGTACCAGTCCGGGAAGATGCCGCCCTCAGCATCGAACTCTGGAGGTCCAGTGAGGTCCATGACTAACATGGGATGGGATCTCTGAATTATGAGAGACGATCTTGGGTGTGTATTCAAACAGGGAGACCTTGCAAAGACCCCCTGGAAGAAGGGAACTAGACCAAAAACCAAGTGGTTGGGGGTAAATGCAAACCCCTATCAGCTTTGCATGGGATGGGATGGGATGGGATGCAAAGCTGATGCAAGAACTTTTTGTATAACATTTTTTCACCCCGGGTCCTAGGACTGAGATTATTGTTTTTCTGATTGGGAAGCTAGTCCGATTTGCTCCTAATTCAATGCTGCTTTACCAAACATCTCTCTCTCCATCGCCATCCATGGGGTCTGGAGTTCTGCCCTGCACAAGCCCAACCAGTTGTCAGCTGGGCTTCCCGGCTAAGCTGTGATCGTTCCCAAGGCCTTAGTGCTTTGACCATGTCGAACCCGCCTGGGACTGGTCGACACTTTGTAGATCGTCAAGAGTCAGGAACCCCAAGTAGCCCCGTTCGTTGCTTCTTGATACTAGCGATGCCAAGAGCCCCGTTCGTAGCGTCCTGGCCGTACTACTTTCCTGCCAAGTGGTGACTTGGAACCTCATTCTCCAAACAAGAGAAAACAGAAGGGACAGGACAGGCTGTTCCTTTTCCAGGGCTTGTGAGGACGGACGCGTCCTGCAGTCATGGACGGATCAATGCTGCTCCTTTTGTCACAACTCCTTGCGCGCTTTTGTTCCAAACAGGCGGCCTTGGCACTGGTGCGGCGTGAGCATGATGTGGGAAATAGATGGACATAGCCTTTTGGATTGCATCGGTGTTTGATCAAGCATGACAAACGCAGTTTCCTAGACAAGTGATTCAAGCGAAAAGAGGCAGCACTGAGCCTTTTCTGTCCCGGTGATTGAATATGAAGTTTAATGCGCGCCCCATATCATCTCTTGTTCTTCTTGAGCGTGGTGGGGTGCCGATGCGAGGCAAGTCACGCAAATAGTCCCACCAACCCTGTCGAAGCACACCGTGCAACGCTGCCTGGAGAGGTGAGAACATGAAGAGGCAAGCTCCAGAAAGACTCACCACTGTGCGATCAAATCCAACAATGCCTCATATAGCATATCATACAATAGATAGCATATCATACAATATATAGCCTATATAGCCATATAATGCCACATAGAGCTGCATTGTTGACATGTTTCAAGGATACAACCCCACAAGACGAGATTCAGGACGATATCACACCATATCTAAATACATCTCCAAGGCAATCTGCCATTCACGCAGTGCTGGTGGACACAGGGAAGCCATTTCACCATCGAATTGCAATCCACCAGCAGCTCTACGTTAAATCTCATGAAGAACCTGTCCACTGCTGCTAAACCTGGCACAACTACAAGCATCTGCCACTGCCCCTGCCTGCTCATACCAGTAGTCTGCTTCTGACTGGTTCTGTGGCACTCCGTCACCTCAGTATGAACTTGTTTAAGCTTCCTATTAAACACCCGGCACCTGGATACACCGACAAGGATCAAAGAAGCGTACAAACGCAGTGGGACGAAGCCGTCGTTGAAGACATGTACAACGAAGTGAATGGACAAATTGGAATGTTTTATCGACAAAGGTCCAAGGAAATACCCGCCCTAAACACAAAGGAAACCACTGCAGCTATATGTTTCGGGCAAGCCTGATTCCAGTGCGACTGCCAAGTTGTATTGCGCCTGGCCTGAGGGCAACCGCAAGCAAGTCGAAACTTGGCTGCTGAAACGAAGAACAACTTGGGGGAAATGCCCCCTTTCAATTGTTTACTCGATCTTCAAGACTGTTCGTTTTGCTGAAGCAACGTTTACATGGGCGATTTGTCCCAGTCACCATGATCTTGGCTGGCTGCTCGTCGATACCATTTCACGGCCAACTCGCCATCAGGCTTGACGCCGCGGCCCTGGCTGTAAAGCAAACCTCGCCAGTGCATCGGGCTTCGGACCATCGATGGATCCGTGAGGTCCGTGAAAGAGGACGATCAAATGCTACGAACATGAGTGGTACTCTTGCAGCTGGGCCGCCCATCATGAACTGACCTGGAAGGGACGTGTCTCTCCAGTGATTCGAGATTGGATTTCAAGCAGTAATTTGAGGTGTTGATAATTTTGTGGTTCAACTTGGCTGTGTCCTTGTTTCTGATATGCGAAGCTCTGACCTAAACAAGTACGAACAGGTCGCGCACTCTCAGCAACAGAACGTGTGCGTCAAGGCTTGCCCTCCTATCGAATTGGCTTAATTTGGTGGCCAGCGGCCATTGCTTCTCCCGCTCTCCGCAACATCTTGAAACCACTTCGCTGCAAGTTCATCGCTCCTTGCAACTCCCTCTCCTACCTTGGTGGGAGCATCTGGTGATTTTGAATGGCAGGTCATCGAAAGAACAACTCATCCAAAGGAAGCGCTGATTCTGGAGCAATGCGAGGAGCCCTCAAGACCTGTATATACATGTTTGCGGCAATTCATCAACATGATGTCCAACCAGTTGCTTTAGTTAGGGTGCCTCCTTGACACTTGCCAAGTCACCAAATAAGCGTAGCCCAAGTTGTACTGAGCCTGGGCAGGCCACTGAAACAAAAGCACAGTCAAAAAATAGAACTACCGGGACACTGAGAATACATGCGACACACATCAACACACATCTCATAATGCCGCAACGGTGTGTTTGCATGTTCATACTTTTACGTGAGATAGGAGTCAAGAAAGAATTGAAAGAATGATCTTGACCCCTGTGTTTGGGATACTGTTCAAAAAAGTCTTTTCGGCTTGGAGCAAGATATAAACGGTTTCCACAAAAAACTTGAAGTCTCAAATCTGGTGAGGTGATTGCCGCGCCCGCGTCCCACAGTACATGCCTGAAGCCACCGTGAATGCAAACAATCTGGACTGATGCGATGGAAGGACAATTGGTCGCCATGCAAGAAGAGTGTCCACAAACGAGGCATCTGAGACCCAAAATCGAATTTTCGGACAGGGCCGAATATCTACCCCCAATTTCCATATCAACCAACATCGTGATACCTCCAAATTTGCTAAAAAATCAAAGTCGGATCCCGACCACTCCTCAATCGTTCTTGACGCTATGGACCTATAGATTTGGTATCGAGCCACCATAACATGTCCCATCTCAGCAGCACGCCGATACCACCGGACAGCTTCTTTGGAGTCGACTGCAGTGCCATCGCCACGGCTGTAGGCCACAGCCAAATTGAACATGGCCTGGATGGGCAATGAAGCTCCTACAAGGAGTTTGCCCACCATGTGTATATATATATAGTATTTTGAATATATAGTATAATAATACAATACAAATATATATATATATATAACCCGCAAAGCTCGACTGGCCCGAGCCGCAACATCACTAACCGCTTTGCAATGGCGTAATCTTATTGGGCCCTGCCAGCTGTTCAAGCATAATCCTTTGCTGACGGAATGACTAGACTTGTCTGAAGAAAAAAAGTGTGTAGAACACGAATGAACAAAGTCACACGAAGGTCCATGCCCAAAATCAGCAGGAATCTAGTTCTTGGTGCCAAGGATGCTGAGTCAAGGGAGACAAACAGCTTTCATCTTATCTTCCCCATGCACCTTGTCATGGTTCCCTTCTTCCGCGGCTTTCCGGCACCAGTAGAAAGCCTGCCTGGGCTCAAGGGAAGCCAAGAAACACGATAGTACCAAACTGACTTGATCTGCAAAGGGCTCCCCCGCGGAATGCCACAACCAATCAGCAAGGAAGAACACAACCAAGGCCTTTACCAACTTGCCTAATCTTCCGATGGAGGTCCCAAGGCTGCAAAAACTGCTGCATGGGTGCTGGAGATCAGGGGCAATGCCAAGGCCTTCACGATATGCGATGGCCAAATTGTACCTGGATGGCAGCAGAAATTCTAAGGAGCCTTGACCCGAGAGTGCTTCCTTTGACGGGTGCGAACCCTTTGCTCTTCGTATTTGGTCAAGTGCGCAGGTTGGAGAACCTTCAGGTGTCGGCTGACTCGAGTGAAAACCTCCGGGCTCTCGCACCAGCAGCTGTGCGCCACTAGACGTGTTGTATTTATATAACAGGTCTTGTGATACCCACTATGTCCAAGGATAATTAAAAAGAAACATCTGGGCTAAACTAGGTGTATTGCAGGGACCAGAGTAAAGGAAAAGCACATGTCCTCCAACCTACAAGACCTAGAGGTTCCGTACCAATTGTCGCCAAGCTGCATGGCCTTGGACGCTTTGGCAAAGTTTGAGCTACCCTGCGCCGCTGCATGACCTCAAATGAATGTAAAACATGTTGGATGAGGCTCAGCCAAGGCACTCAGCTACTCAGTGGTGCCTGGAGCAAACGTCTCGAAGGGTCCAGATCAAACCAATGTGAACACAACCACACACTCACCTCAGAGCCTCAGGCACTAGTGCTTGTTTGTGGACAAGGATGAACGCCAATCCCACCAAGTGTCCGAACATGACCGCACCGTCCGTTTCCGTCCAAATGCTCAAGCGAAGGGCCTGGGAACGGACCCTTCGCTTGAGCCCGGATGCCCAGCGGCTCAGCCACACGCTGGCTTCGGAGATGTTCTTCTCCACGCCATCCTTGAGAAGAGCGGCACACTCGAGAAGTGCTAGCTGAGTGGATTGAGTGGAGGGCGCCCCGAGGTGCCCAGAAACTGAGGGTCTGCACAAAAGAACGCTTGCATCAAGTTGTCATAAGTTGTCTTACATCTTCAAAGAGGTGCTTTCTTGCCATCACGTCTTTGGTACTGGCTGCCGCTCTTGGCCTAAGCCTTAGACATTGGCGTGTGGACGCCATCCCGTGATGTCCGACGTGTTGAAATCAAGCCACTCCGTTGGTGTAGGCCAAGCCCACCAGGAACTGCCCAGTGGCACTGCCCTGCTTTGCAGCTGCCAGGTACCATTCAAAAGCGCCGTAGGGATCGCGACGCCCGAGGCTGGCAGGGGTCGAACCGTGACGTGAAACTGCTCGTTTGTGAACATGAGATGCCAACTTCCACACTCTGCCCAACTCTCGGTCTACATTAGTCTACATTTGGACAGGGCAAATCTGGGAGAAACCGCTGCACAAAAGACGTTCCACACTGTTGTTTGGGCAAACATCCTCCACAAGTGGCCTGTCACCATCGTGTAGCATGGCACCCAGCTGCAGCATTGCTGCTGTATGGTTCTGCTGGGCGGCTTTGGTGTACCAGATCAGGGCCTATCATCATCGCTCACGGAAAACGTGTAGGATCTACTGCAGCATTTGTCAGCCGGCTCACTAGCACAAGACAAACAGTAAGAAACCAACAAATACATGCGGACACTCTTGAGAAGCGCAAGACACAGCAGCTGCAGTGCCGTTGCGCCGAAACCAACAAATACAAAAACAATCTTTCTTCCAAAGGGATGGTCTGCACTTCGAAGTTTCTTTCGAATTGAGCAGACTGCCGCGCCTGGGAGCTGTCTACCGCACTAGTGTTTGGCATGCCTAGTGTTCGTGCCACAGCTGCATTCCAGTACATTGTGGTGGCACCTACTACGTAGATAGAAAGTAAATCACCTCCAAAAAGGCATAGAACACATTCAAGACAGTTTTCTTCTCCGGATCGCTGTAGAGGCAAAACAAACAAAACATAAAAACACAACTCGCGTTTCATTGGCTTCTGACCTTGGCGGTATCGCTGTGCCAACTGAAACTGTGCTTGTACATCGCCTGCCTCTGCTGCTGCGTGCCTCCGATCAAAGCAAATCATAATGCATGACAAAGACAAAAAAACGCAGCGACATGTCTTGAAGTGCAATGGTTCTCTGTGTGTGTGACCAATAACTTAGGTTGCGCATGTGTAAGCAAACATTGACATTGACAATGTGTACCCCAACAATTCTTGCCTGGCTTCTGAAATCTGCCGCGCCCAGCCGAGTGGGGCAAGGCAGCCTTGCGCTACTTTGGGCCATTGGGAATAATATGAGGTGTTGAAAACTACGCGATCGAACATTGTATGGGAGTACCCAACAAAACCCTTGATAAGGGTCACATGCTCAGAGATATGAATATGATTGCGAACACCCGGGGGGTCAACATCAACCTTCAGTAGGCATCGAGCAACATCTGCGTCTTTCTTTCTACCGATCTTTTTCCATGATATTTCAGAATTGTTTCCGTCAGCTTTGTCAACAAAGCCACCCGCTGCAAACATTCGCGGCCTTCGCCACAAGGCCGCGCACGAATCTTTTCGCCCTCTAAGATGTCTCTCAAAGCAGTCATCACCACATCCACCTGAATCCTCAGTAGGTTCGAGCTCACGGCAGGGTGAACAGGCCTGGTGCCCTCTGCATTATTGGCCCGTTTGTGAATGATACTGGACAGGTTTGAGGAAAACATCACCAGAACAACATATTATCACCGCTAGCGCGGTTCATAAACACATCATCTCAGGTGGCAGCAGCTCAGCAGCCCCCTGTCCCACACACACAGTTGAGCACCCCACCTTCCAGCCCACAGGTCCAGTTGTCAAATACCAAGCAGCCCAGGTGCATCGCAAAGTTCTTGTGCCTGGCGACGAAGATTGAACAAACACAATGTAAGCTAAGACTGCACAGGAACTAATTAGGTAACCAGGAGGGCCCCCTAATTGGCAGAGTGTGGATCGCCCTCACTCTCTCTGTCCTCACTCTCTCTCTCTCTCTCTCTCTGGGTGGGACACAACATGACACAACCACAGCACATCTTCCTGCAAATTCCGTCACAGCTGGGCATTCTGAAGTGTGATACTTTGAAGCTTTTTCCTTTCACCCGTAGCGCTGAAGTCCCATGTGCTGCAACCAAGTTGGTGGCTACTGATTCTGACCAAGAAATCGGAGGCTGAGAACAGTCTTTTCAAACAGGCAGGGGCCCTTGCCTTCGTCTCTCACGGGGGTGCCTTCCGCTTGATGTCACGAATTGGCAAACCGTCGACCATCACTTGAAGCTCTACCTCAGCGTGAGCCGCAAGTGTGTTGCACCTGGTGGGCTACGAAACTAAGCAGGGATTGAAGCAACACCCAGCAGGCACGAGCACAGCACGAGCACGGGGGAATTGCAGAGTAGTTCTAGGAACCGCATCTACCTGCTCCTCAGTCTGCTAGCTTCTAGCTCCACGGACAGGTTCTGCCCCCCTCCATCACTTCAGAGAATCCATCGATTTACCAACATCTGTAGGCTATTGTAGGCTATTGTGCGTGGGCCTCAGCCCTCAGCGAGTTGCTGTCACGTAAACCCTCCTCACTGGACACAAGCTGCCAGTCATTGGCATGTGAATGGAACCCCGTGACCCATGACCAAGTCCAAGAGCTAAATGTGATTGAACTCCGGTTGTTGCAGCAGGAACTCGCTGCCGCTCCTAGGGCCTTGATTTTTCGGAGAACATCACAGGACACAACATTCCTCATCATTTGCATCAACTGCTGACCTGATTGACTAAAGTTGCTTCTGGTGTGCCATGTGGCACACTCTCATGAGAACATCAGCTCTCATCCCTCCTTGTCGAACATTGCTAATCATGATGATCATCCAATTGACTTCCCAAAGCACCAAGTGGCGTTGGGTGGCTCTGCTTCGTTGATGCGCCCTGGCCAGAGCGGCAAAAGGAGCACCTCAGTGGCCCGAGCTCGATTGAGCTGCTACAGTGGCTCGAGAACAGCACGGAACAACACCTAAGCCAACGGCTTGACTCTTTTGAACTCACTCCTTTTCAGGTTTTTTCAGTCGCAATTACTTTCCAACACCATGTTTGATGAGTTCCTAACAAAGAAAAGCTGCATTTCTGCAGCTGCAAGCACCTCTTTGGCAGGGGAGCAGCTTCACAATCTTCCACAGTCGAAGCGAGTCCTCCCCTTCCGAACTGCGCCTCTTCGATGGGCAATGCATGGTCCAGCAGCACAGGGTCTGCCACGTCTTTGGGGATCAAGAACGCTGGTGTCATGATCCGCTCCTGTTGGCCGAAGTGGGGTGAGCATCTTTCACAGCCTGGACTTAGCAATCACGTTGGATGTTAAACTATGTTAATATTGCACCCCACATCTTCCCACAGCACAGTTCAGCAACCAAGCACAAGCTTGTCCTCTGTGGCAATTGAAGACGCCGCCAGCAAGTCCGCCGTCTTCGTATCTGCCCTCAACTTGCTCAGGCACATGCCTCCCATCACACTCCAGTGCCCTCTCTCAATCCATGCCCTCTTGCATTCACGAAAGTCACGAAAGCTGCAACTTCACGATTCACTTTCGTGGAATCGGAGCCTGTGGAATTCTGCAGCTGTGCGGGCTTGGCACTCTGGCTTACCAAGCCACGGTCTGTGAACCACTCGCTGGTGCCATAGGAGATGAATAGCTCCTCACCTGGCATATTGATCACCTCTGGCCATGAAAAGAACATCACCCGGAAACTGGTCCGCTACAAGCAAGTCGGTGTGTTACCGTGTAGATTCAGATCCTAAATAGCGGTTAGCAGCAAACGGTGCAAAGCACCGGCACCCAGTTTCGATCACCTTTACGCGGCCGGTAGATCCTGGCCTTCTATGTAGCCCTCCCGTGGCCGCAAGATGACGAAGCCTTAGCGGCTTTCACTCATCCTTGGAAGTCCAATTAGACATTCCAACTGCACTCAATTAGTTACATTAAATATACTCAAAGCACATTCTCATACCTAGATCTTCCAACTATGCAACAGTTATCCTTTTTGGTTGGTTTGCATATGTTTTTATAAATGAAACGGCACACATTTTGCATAGTTGGAAGATCTAGGTCCATTCTCATCCTGGCCAGGGGGCCTTCTGATGGGATGAGGTCGCAATTCACCTCAACCGTGCTTCATGCATCAACCAGTCAGCAATGCAAGCACGGGTCTGAGACTCTGTGCCCGTGCTTGGTGGCTTGGGCAAACACCCTTTCTTGAAGTCTTGACACAAAGGCCTAACACCCGACACTACGACCATATAGTTATAAGTTATATATAAGTAGCACGAAACTACTCACCTACACCTTCCGCCGAAAGCAGCTTCTTAAGTATGGATAACCTTCACGTGGCCTTATGGTTTCCTCAAAGGCAATTGGAATGAACATAGTAACAAGAAGCTACTAGTAACAAGTGCAGTGCATCGCTACTAGTAACAAGTGCCTTACTACTAGTAACAAGGTTCGCTACTATGTCTTCTTCCCAACTTCTTTGGAACTCGTCGCTTCTGGCACTGACGGGTCACCATCTCTGGTACTCCATGGTTTACCAAGGAGGCAGGGCCCAGCATGAGTTGACTCATCGCCTGCCGTTGCGGCCCGGACTTTCCAAACGCCTCTGTTTGGCTACCCGGCTTGTGGGAGCAAGCGGGTGCTGGCTGCCGATGATGTGTGCCAATGAAAAATCTGAAAAGCCGGTGGAGCGGGTATCTGACTCTGGGCAGACTTTGGCACATGCATGCACACACCAAGTTCTAAAGCTAGGGCCTCGCCATCTTGTGGTGGACTGCTGAAAACATAGGAGGACAGCCTCAGTTTTCAGTAGCGATTGGACATGTGTCTGACATTTCAGTTGTTCTACCTTTGCAGGTTGGGCTTCAGCAAGCCTCTCATACGCTGAGTTGGAGATATATGCCTTTACAAAAGCTCTGACATGGAACATCCCTCGCCATGAGTTCTTCTTTTCTTGATAACCACATCTAGCCCAGCCAATCCAATCTCAGCCCCTGTCGGGTGGGTTCCAGTCTAAAAATGTCAGGGTCGACGCACGTTGCCATGTGCCGTTCGCCGGCCTCACTTCACAAGTCGGTGTGACGTTCCGCCCAGGCCGCTGTGTGACTTCCGCAGCTTTGCTTGCCAGTCGCAGCGCCCGTGAGGCGACTTTGCCGCCCGACCCGAAAAGGCCACGGCCTCGGCAAACGAGGACGGACGTGGTCGGCCCCATGCCATCATGCCATTCGCGTGCCATCTCAGATGCCATTTGATGCTACATAGAAAACCATTCCAGGAGATTCTAGATTGGATTTGGATGATTTAGATGAATTCTATAGGACGTTCTGAAGTATTGGTAGTGATGCCTTTCGGCTTTCTACAAATCACGGGGGGGCAGTATGTGCAAGGGGTTGCTCACCGGCCCAGCCGCCCAAACTTTTCATTTTTACAACTTTAAATCAGGCTCATATGCACACATATACACACATATGGATATAGTACAGTATGATATAGTAATATATATATATATAATTATATATATATATATTATGTGTGAAGCTCGCATGATGTGCCCATGGCCAATATGCCTGCATTTGGTAGGGTCGAGGCTGCCATCCACAGGCTGCACCCAGTCCTGAGCGACAAGCTCACACATGCAAGCAAACAATCATAACGCAACTCTTTTGGATTCTTTTGGTATCCTTTGGTCTTTGGTTCGCTCGCCTTCTCTTTTTTTGGGTTCCCACTGCCAAGTGACAAGAAGGCCTTCACTCTACCACACATTTTAGTGTGTCAAGAACATCAACTCTTTAAGAGTTGACGGCGTGAAGTTCTCTTGCGAGTCCTGCTGTCATCGTCAAACATTTAGTCTGGACGGGGGCGTGCAACTCTCCACCACCTCTCGAAGCTCTAGACTCTAGACATTCTACATGACCTACCTCTCAGCAGGCCTCGGCTGATTCACTTCAATATCTTCAATGGGATGTGGCTTTTGTCTTCGACAGACCGTGCACAACCTCAATTTCAATAAAGCAGTATCCAATCTGTACCGAATCCAAAGGCTTTGTTTCGGCTTGCGCTAGCAGCCTGGCAAGAATGGGCTGAGACATGCTGAGCCCATTCTTTGTCTCCGAGCGATTGCTCTGGAAAAAGCTGCTATAGGCTATAGTCGGCTAGCTTACATCCATAGATATTGTTGGGACTGCCTCTGGCCGGGCTTCCAGGATTAAGTGACCCCAAAAGGCCACTTGCACATCCAAACGCACTGCTTCTATACAATTTCATGCAAACTATCATTAATTGTTCGTCGAGTTGGCCCAAAACCGTCCAAAAGGCTCCAACATGGCCTGGTCGTGTCTTTTTTTGGGGTCCCGTAACAACATCAATCATGGCTGGTTTGATTTTGGACCCGCATCGCACTCGAAGAGTGCCTTCACAAACCATTGCAGGACGTTTCAGTGAGATTGAGATATTCTCTGCCATCCTGCAACCAGGGCTGCTCACATCTGCTCACTGGAGCGAGATCTTCGTCGCTTACATCGATTCTCGGATCAACTCGCCTTCGGCCAAAGGCCCCGAGACGTCGGGGCCCTCGGGCCAAGGGGCCGTCGCTTGAACTTCTGCCGTCGCAGACTCTGTGATCAAAGGGTGGTCGTCCGAGGCTTCACTCAAATCATCAAGGTCTAGCTGGATCAAGGCGCCTGTCTCGGTGTAGGCCACTGATTTCCCGATTCTCTTCAGGCTCTTTCTGGCTTGAGCCCTGCTGAGAAAGCTTTCTTGGTCTGGAAGACTACCCATCTCTAGCTGTAGCTGGTGAGGATTCACTCCATCGCCGCCGGCTTCCCGATCATCCTCGTCATCCAAACTCTCGGCAAAACCAGCACTTTGGTAGCGCCGGAAGCGCCGGGCGATCTCGGCGACCTGCTTCCTGAGCTGAGGATGGCCGAGAGGCTCCCATGAATCTGTCAAACTGAATGCATCTCAATGCACACGATCCCTTTCTAAGGTCTTCAGCATGAAAACATGCTAGACATTTTGTCAAGGTTTGTACTTGTTTCACCAACTCCGGGGTCTCTTGACCATTCTTGACCTCCACCTGAGAGAAACCGTGAAACCGAGCTTCGTCAGGAGCCCCTCGGAGCCCATGGGCGATAAAGGCAAGGCTAAAACATTCAGCATGGCTCGGTAGGCCTTTGACAGATGAGGCCCCAGGTGCAGCTCCACCCCGGGCAGGCTGTGTTCCTCCAAGTCCCGGTAGAACCTGAGCCAACGTCCAACAGTGAAAGAAGTCGGGAGAGATTCATGGAACAGGTGGCATAAGGAACCAACGTTGGAGGGGCCCGCAGCACACCATCTTCCAGGGATCTAGATCCCTGAGTATGATCCCTCTTGGACCTGATAGCCAGAGCATGCCAGTGCCGTTTCCATCCGTTTCCCAAAATGCAGTCTTCTGTAAGAGTCCAGTCCTCTCGTCCGCGGCCAAGAAGCTCGGCGCTTGGAAACTCAAAGTGCGTATCGGCATTGACCTCAGTGAAGCCAGTGAGGCGAACAACAAAGAAGAGTGGAAACATTTGCATCGCTCGAAACAGAACACATGAATTCTTGGCTAATTACCTGGACATCGCATCCAGGACATACCCACAAAATCGGACCAAAGAAAAAAAACAAGAGTCAACAAAAATCAACAAAGTAGATACACGCGTGACTTGAACAAACATATGTGCTGTATGGAGAGGTATGAAGTGATCTGAACGATTTGACACCATCCAAATCCTTTCAACATCATTAGGCTCAGTAGACACAACTGCATCACTTCCTGAAATTCTAGGCTGCTGGGTTCTGTTGGATGAAACGAACACCACGGATTCCGCACTTCACCGTCGCGCCCGGACATGACTGGGTCCAGCGGCTGTGACCATCTCGAGTGGACGAGAGCTGACGCCTTCTCCTTCGACATAGGCGCTTAAGAGAGTCTCTGCAAAGCCTGGATCGCGGAGCATACCCCGTGAAAGAAGGATGACCTGAGAGAATCACGTTGGAATGGCGCAGCAACCGAAAGTGCTTGGAATTCCCCATCGCTCCCTTCTGATGTGCAAATGAAGGGGCAAGGGCCTGCAGGATTACAGCAACCTACAGTAAAGCGGCAGGAAGAATGCCGGTCTTGCATCCTCTGTGGATTATGATCAGGGGATATCAGGGGGTTGAAACAAAAGGAGCCACCTTTTGAAGCAAATTCAAGAGACAAAGTAATATGCCCATGGCTTGTAGGCCACCAACGCCGTTGGAGTTTGCACTACTGCACATTCTTTGTGAAGCTGTTTCCTTGAAGCGCTGGGTGCAAACGCTACAGTACCGAATGCTGCAGTGAAGCTTGCGATCCGACAATGACACTGTACAACAAGGAAAAAGCGCATTGTCGATACATCAGCTGTTCCACCAAAGTTGTTGTTTACAGCCGAAAGATGCCGAAAGAACTTCTTGGCTTTGTGCCTGATGGCTCCAGGTCTTGCACTCCGTCCAAAGACAACGTATCACAGCAAAGAAGGTCTGCCGCCAAGTTTCTGCAACATGATTTGAAACACCTCCAAGGTTGCAAGCGCTTCTCCATCGCTGACGGCTCCTTACAGCATGCCAACGCTTCAAGCGCATGAACAGCGAATGCGAGTGGGCTTCAAAACATTGCAACTGCGGCGAATACATAAAAGATTTGAAGGGAAAATGCCAAGAGCATGATTGAACAAATGCAGGTGACCTGTGATAAGCACACGCGCCTTTACTTTGTGGTTGGCAGCTTTCGTACCATCCATGGAACGGAAGTACAGCATTGGCGCCCTCACCATGCTAAGCAGTTCCTTGGATAAGCGGGAGAGCCTTTTGGGATGTTTTGGAGATACTTGGAGCAAGCTTTGATCCATCCCCAGCGATTTGACTTGCATTCTGAGCCTGAAGTGGCCGCCGTAGGTGCCACCTCACCCTTTACATTTCTTCTAAGCATCCGTATGAATCAAGAACAAAACATGAAAGGCACGGAGCACGGTGGGCCAAAACAAAGAAAGCACTGCTCTTCAAGTCTCCACCACGGTGTTCTCGCGATGATGCGGTGGTGCGAAGCGAGACAAAATGAGGGCCTCGAGTTCATCATGCAACCAAGCGTAGGCGCGCTGCACATCCTCCATAGTGATACCTCGGGAACTCTCAGCTTTCATTTTGTCTCTTGTGGCCCATGGGTGAGAGGTGTGTTTGGTGAGGACAGATTTCGTACTCTCCCTCCCCCTCTCTCTCTCTCTCTCTATGCAGGCATGTGTGCATTATGCTTTGCTTGATCTTTGTATCCTGTTGTCAGCACGGGCTTGTGCAGCTCTCACCCATCATCCTTCAAACCATGTTAGAACTGCAACCGAACTTCGAGTCAAGTTCATGGGAAAGCAAGGGATTGAGCTGGCTTGCCACCAAAGTACCATAGAAGGACAGAATTTGCTTCTGTTGCACTGTCCATACTTCTGGTATTCCTTCAATGTCAGCCGTGGAAGGTGGAAGGTACCCATCGCAAATCAATGGGACGGTGATCACCTGGCAAAACGAAGGCGACGTTCCAAGGCTCAACGACGAAATCCTTCAACTGATCAACTGAGAAATGCTTCCCGACCGAAACCACAGAACTCTTATCCCATAGGTCGATGGTCCGAATCGCTTCGTTCTTCATACCGAATCGCCCTGGTCTTCTAAAACAGGACAGGTGCCCATTCTGTTTTGGCTCCCTGACCTTGTTCTTGAAGGCGGTCACGATTTCGCCGGCACACCACATGCGTGTCCTCGGCTCGCCCTGAAGAACTGTGGCCCCACAGCCAGTGGCCCAGTGGCCCCAAGAGATCCTAATGTAGACTCTTGAGGACCATACACCCGCCCATTTGAATTGAAAGTCCTCTTCAAAGGGAGGGTTTATTCGTCAAGAGCCTACATTAACATCAAAAATAGATAGAAGAGCGATTCCCTCCAAACCATTCATCTATTTATGTCGGGGACTGCTGCATGGATAAATAAGAAATCTGCTTCGAAGCTTCCCTGACCCCGGTTGCTGGGGAGCTCACCCCGAGGTCTTCTAAATTTCACATATCCGCGTGATAAACAACATCGAAGTTGTTGGAGCCAGTCTTGGTGACAATTAATTCAATTGATTCATCACGATTCCAACACACTGTTGGACATCGAAGCCCGGAAGAGATGTGGGCAGAACTAGAGACGTAATAATCCATTGTAATTCCCTTTCGTCGTGACCAGGACCAAACTCTTTTGGAATTGTTGGGTGAGGAATGGTAAGGAGCCAGACTCTTTCTACATGTACTTTCATGTTTCATGACTAAGCGAACCGACATAGTGATGGCATTGCAGCCTCCTGATTTTGTCCAAGCTTCAGCAGCTCAGGCGTCAAAACCACTACCACGCTCCTGGTTTTCAGACGGATAGTGTCGAAAATGAGATCCAAATCCTCACGAGCGCCACTTCGACGAACGTCGCGCGAGCGTCATCAAAGAAAAAAGAGTCGAGGCAAGGCTGCTCATGGATACTCAGGAGATTCAGCATGCTCAATCTTGAAAGAACGTCTGCTCCTCCAGCTCATCTGAATCCAGAAAGACCCTTGTCTTGCTGTGATTCGAAATCAAGAGCTTGATGAGGCGACAAAGGCCTGGGATATGTCAGTCAAAAACAGTCAGTGCCTTTTTGAACTCTGTGGGTCTCTGTCATCTATGTCTCCCCTCGTGTCTTGTCGGGTCCCCTAGCTCCATTCCCAAAGTGTGAAACTAGTGCTGCGTGAGTCACTTCCGGCGCCACCTTTGTGGTGGCACAAAAAGATGCCGTAGTCGAGGGGAGGATGAAAGTGGCACCTGGTTGCAGCAAGGTGGTGATGACTTTAAAGTGACTTGAATGAACGCAACATTGCATTTTCCAAGGCACAAAACGCAGAAGGTGCTGGCAGCGATGCCGGCCACGAATGGGCTGAGCACGCTGAACGTAAGAATCCAACCCAGTATCCTGGGTTGATGGCAGGAACACCGCTCAAACGACGCAATTTTTGGATGGTCTTGAGCAAACACAATGAAAAGAACCGAGGGCGCCCGGTCAAAATGGTTCGTCACTTACTTCAACTTCTGTAAACAATCTTCCTGTAATTCTGCAAAGACTCTCCGTGGACACTCCCTCTTCTACCTCCAATAATGGCGCTATGCCAAGCAAGACCACCTGCAGGATGAAGGTGATTGCAAGATCTGTGTAATTGGCCAGTGTTGTACGCCAAGGCCACAAGCGAACTTGCACTGCACCAAACGTCCTCTGGTGAGGTGGTGGTGGGTCGAAGCAGAATGTTTTTTGGGTCAACGTGTTTCCTAACATGTTTTGATCTACCGTGCCACCCCAAAACACACACACACACACTTAGATATATAAAGGTTCATCCAATTCCATAATCCACGCAGAAAGGAGCGAGGGAAACGAAAGGTGGCTGAGTCCGCGGAGGTGTTGGCAAATGCACTCAAGCGATCTGAACACTCGGCGCAGTTGCAACAGCGCTGGGAGAAGGGAAAGTTTAGGGGTCTATCATGCAAAGACCATGAAGCCAAAAAAGACAGCGAGAAAAGTGGGGTAGTGTCACGAGCAGGTACACGGAAGTGACCAGCTTCCGCTTCCTAGGATCTTGCAAGGAGCTTCGTTGGGCAGAGCCTTGCAAGTCCTCTCTGCCCCCTAGCTCTGTGGGTGAGTAGTTTGGACGGGAGACCTCCTGGGAACGGAGGGTGACACACACACACACAAGGGGTGTGGCATGGTGTGGCATGCGCCCTCCTTACTTGTGGGACATTACGCTTGTCTGGCACAGTACCTCCTCAGCTTCTTTCGATTCATTGTGTTTGCTATTGTTTTGCTGATTTTGTGTGTTTCTGTTTCAATTTCAATCAACTCTTTGCAGAAAAAGGCCACCAGCATGAACTGAATCTCCAAGTGTCACCAAAACAGCGCCCATGATCACCATTTGGACCTCAGGGACTGCTGCAAAGGCCACCGGAACCAGCGACACGATGATATTCCGCAGCAACAGCAGCGTTCCGTAGAAATAGCATTCCCGGGTGAAGCGCTGAAAAAGAAACCCATGCCGGCGCACCAGCTTCAGCCCGGCACCACTATTGATTCTGGACGGATACATCCTCAGCACAAACACAGGGACTTGTGACAGCAAGGGACGCGACTCTGCCCTGAAATAACACCAACGGGGTCTCAAAACCAGCCGATGGGGGTGCTTCTTCGGTTGGCCAAGATCTCTATACATGTCCCTCCCCATATATACTTCATTTCAGGTCGTGGACACTTTCGTTGCGCTCAAAAAAAAAAAACGTAGGACTTGACGAAACGGACGAGCCACAAAGTGGTAAAAGTGGCCCAGCTCAAAACAAGCAAAGGGTAGCAAAGGATCCCTAGACTTGACAGGAACGCCAGCCAGACATGCTCCTCTGAGTTGAAGCAAACGACGCCCGGACTGGAAGCCATTGAAGAAGATCCATCGGGATTTTGGATGCACAAGAAGGGATCCAAGACAGCCAAGGTGATCGAAATGAAAAGTGCAAACACCAGGACACCACCAAGTTGAAAAACGGTATCCAAGGACATCTTATCACCCCTCAGCTGAGAGATCAGCCAGCAGGTCAGAAAAACACCAAGGCCCATCGGCCAAAGGAGAAGCTGACCAATGAATTTCAAGGTGGGGCTGTCTTGACCCAAAATGCACGAGATCTTGATGACGTCCAGGTCAAAGCTGACAATCCTGACACATGATGCACGCGACCGCTGGTCAGACTCGACAAAAGTGCAGTTTGTTTCGGAACAGCTGCGAGTCATGTTTAAGCCAACAATTGTGATGCATAGCAAATCTATCTCTGCATTTTAACATTGCTGTTGCACAGGATTTCTTTGCAAAAATAGCAAGGCTTTGCCAATCCAGGCAGCTTAGTGAGCTCAATGATTCTTCGCACGGGATAGATCCACTCAACTGCAAGCTTCCGGATGGACCCCAAAGCTTGCAAGGCTGTTATGGTCTGACTCGCCACTGCAGCGACTGTCAACAGATTCAGGCTTTGCCTGCCAACCGAGAAAGGAGAATGGCCATTGCACATGGTGACATGATGCCATTTGCGTTTTTAGTTTTCGAGCAATATCATTATATGACCGCATGCCATCTCCTCAAATCCGTCTGCCGTTCCTAGTCAAGACCAGCGGCTGATTGAGATCCACTTTGGCTGAGCGCACGAGCCTCAAAATTGGGTGCAGAACCAAAGTAGCAGTAGGGGGTGACAGAGTCCTTTTTTTGGCGCAAAAACTCTGAACAAGTTGTAACTGATTACATATTCATATATATATATATATATACATTGGATATGATATGATACGATGTATGATCAAGAAGGCTTGGCACGGCTTACCAAGAGGTTTTGTACAACAAAGACGGCCAATCCAACGTCTTTGCGTCACTGTAAGGCCCATCCCATCCTAGCATCACGTTGCGGACACACGTTGTCGCACGCGTCTGAGCTGTAGGCCCAGTAGGCTGGGTTGAGAAATGTCCGTGCTCTACCAGCGCACCGTGACCAAACATTTTCCGAGTCTCAAGAACCAAAAAAAAGAGAAAACAAACCAAAGATGTTCTCCTCGTTTGGAACGTGACACACAAACACACACACAAAGTTATAAACTTCTCATGGTGCGCAAAAGGCGTAGCATGTCTCAAGGATTCACAACGTATTCACCGCAAGCGCAATTTCTCGACTCAGGTCTTCGCCTGATTTTCCTTTGGAAAGACTCGGCATGGTCATTTTACACCTCTAAAGTGGACTCTTGATTAAGAAATGTTCAGAACCCCATAGAGCGCCCCAAACTGGATTGAACAACCTCTTCATATGCAGAGTTTACTAGTCACATCTAGTCACTAAGATTTGTTCCCCTATGGTGTCACCAGGCAGCAGGATGGCCACCAGAACTCCAATCAGCCCTGCCAGGATTGAAGGCCAATAATCACCTGGTCCACAAAGCTCGCAGGTCCCGTTCTCCAGCCTGACATGTGTCGTGAGTTCAGTGACTTGTAGTTGATCAACATGAGTCTGGAAAAGAAGAACGTCTCAGGAAGGACCAACTGCTAGAAAAAAGGATGAAAACTCTGAACTTCACCATTTGAGGCAGTGAGCGGGTAGTGGTTGAAGTGGCAATTGTTGCAGGCAATCCCGTCGCGCCCTTTGGCACACTCGCCCAAAGCTAAGCCTGCCCAGGTGCTGAAGGGAACAGTCACCCAAACAACTTGGAACGCTGTGAATGTGCACGCGATAAGAATCACACAGCCAGACCGAATGTTCAAATGCCACGACAATGCGCCCATGAAGGACCATAAAGGACCGATGTCCAAATTTGATTCTGCAAGGTCTGTTGGGTCCAAATGCACCTGGGCATTCCAATTGGTTTCGGCAGCGCAAGACTTTGAAATTGCAGGCGGTCGGTTCCGCCCAAAAGCCCGGCTGCTGAACTGGTGGGTCCAGTCCTGCAGGGCCTGGGAGCGCCACATCCGGCTGTCCAACGACAGCGCTGCGCCCAGGCACCGACTAACCTCCCGGACCCTCTACCGAAAAGGGCGAAACTGCCCGGCTGACTCTTCTCTTGACTGGGGGGGGGGAACGGCAGTGGTTTGACCAACGATCACGGGAGAATCATGCCCAGTGGCATGTGAGGCCCTCAGGGCAAGGCTGGCAACTTGCTGTTGCCAAGCTCTCATTGCCTGGAGAGTGCAGTGTGCATTTCTTTGAAGTTGATTAGGTGAGTCGGCCAAGAACATAAATGAGAAAAAGAACATGCTAAGCGAACAAACTAAAGTGGAACACTTTGGTGCTTTGGCCATCAGGAAGTGGGGTCTACCTTCTGCCGCTCAAACCTCTGGGACGCTGGTTGCCCGCTGGCCAGAACATCATGGTGTCACAAGCTTCTCCGTGAATCACAACTGCGGTTTGGTGCGAGGTCTTCCACGCGCGGGTTTTAGAACTTCCTTCCGGAAAAACTCTTGCAGGTTTAGTTGCACATGAAGGACCCTTGTGCACAGCGGCACTCATCGTCATCTTGGGATCCGCTCTCCTCCGTTTCCTGTTGCATACCTTGGCTGCGCTGCCGGCCCCCTTCAGGGCTTCATTGCACCAAGTGATAGATCAATACACCAATCCAAACAATTCTTTCATATTCTTTCTTCCTTTGCCTATTTTGGCCGAGAGTCCGCACTGGATGCAAGCTGTTGCTTTGAAACTCGGCATGTACGTACCTTTTGGGCACTTCTGACAGGCCTCCATGCCCCCCTGCGGTCGGGAATCGGCATCCCTGCTTTTAGAATCCCTGTCCATTTCTGCGTGGGTTCCGAGCTAGTAAGGCCCTTGTTACTAGTAGCGATGCACTTGTTCCTAGTAGCTTATTATTAATTTATCACGAGTGGCGTGACAGAAAGGATTATCTGGGAAGGAACGAGGCGTTGGATTCGATGACCATTGACTGACAGTCGCGCCATTTTGTGCTCATGCTCGTCAGAAGAGCGATCGCGCATTCTCATTCTATCTTATTCTGTTTCAGGTGCACGTGGAGACAGGTGTTGTCCAATATTTAGTCTAATAAGATGCTGAACGCATGCTAGGTCGGGATCTGGGCTTTGGACTAACATTGGGCAGCTGAAAGTGGGGCTCTCTGTTAGGAGCTGCTTGAAGGCTCGTCATCATATTGTGGGCCACAACTGGCCCCGACCAAGAAGCTGGCCACATTGTGCATTGAGATCCTGACGCTCATGGATAACAAAGACACAAGTTGCCGGTGCCGGCTTGGATCATTGGTGTGGGGATTGAAAACGCTGGTTGCCTTGACTAGGTTTCCAAATGCCCACTAAGTGCTTTGCAGGCGCAGGAGAAACGGCACAAACATGGCAATCTCGGAAGTTATTATCTCCATGACGAGAGGAACGGCCTGGCAGTGGTTTAGATTCCGTGGCACGCTGCAGTCGAAAAGGAGGAAGTCATCAATTTGTTTGGGGAGACACGTTGGACTGACTGACTTGGTCATGAGGACGTGACGTGCACGTACATTACCTGGAGCTATTCGCAGTTTCCAAGCCAGAAAGGCGTAGGATGTGAGACGTTTGCGTGGCGCGATGAAAGGAAACAGGCCAACGAACTGGCCATTTCAATGATGCGGGTGATTGCAGGCTGGCGCATAGTCACCACAAGTGGAAAAGGCAAGACTTACACTTCACACAGAACACAGCCGACAAACTGTTGCAATGCGCGGCACTGCAGGCCCTGACTACAATGCTCAATGCTCGAAGTTTCAAAGCGAAGACCGACATCACAAGCTGGCCTGTGTTGCTTCAGCTGTGAGTTAGAACGTGCGCACACACACAGAAACCGAGATTCGACACTCGCGCAAATACAAACATTGTAACATTGCCATCAAGCTGGCCTTGCAACTTTTTGGACGCGGCAAGGAACATTTCCAGCGCCTCTCTACTAGTCTGTCTTGGATTCAGGAAGCCTATGCACTGCCGAACGCCAAGGTGCAAGATATGTGCAGGGCAAACGACGGCGCATGCCCGAAGGCCAAACGCAAATCCAAATTCGAGCGTTTCGCGGCAAATTCAAAGGCTTGTTTGATTGATCTTGTTTGTGGAAGGTTTATTTGGGGCAGCGTGGGTGGCGCAGGGTTTTGGCAGCAACCCTCGCCTGAAGAGAACAGCCCCAAACATCCCAAACCAATATATTGCTGCAGTGGGCACACCCTGGCAAAAGAGTTAATCTATATTGGTGAGTGTTGTGTTCAGCACGCATAAAAGGTGAAAAACGGCTTCCGGTTCAGAAACTGTCAGGTGCGATCGGCATGGATGTGGGTGAAATCACGTCAAGAATCAACAGCAAGAACCTCCAAACCATGGCAGTTTATGGATGTTTTATTTTTATGGTAGTTGAACATCCATCTCAGCCCATGCCCTGCATCTTGGTCCATCCTCTTTCCTTTCCAGCGCTGTTGATCTCGGTATTTCGTGGTGCGACGTGCTTAATCCAAATTCGAGCGCTTCGCGGTGTTTGCGTACGCATTCAGGGCTGACTGGGAAGCTTCAATTTTGGCTGGGGCCACTCACCTAAAATGTTCTGCTGCTCGAACTCAGGCGCTTGTGCTTGGGAGGGGTTCCCAGCCTTCATGGCTCATCTACACGTCCTTTGTATGTTGGGTCTTCTGTGTCCTTTCCCTGACTGCAGGCTCAGCACTTCGCAGCAAAAGCGACCGGATGGGAAGACCAAATCTGCAAAATGCATGTTTTTGTGCAAAAAAACGGGACGTGCATCATTTGGGGAACACCATGGCACACCGATTTCACTTCGTCACTGCGTCCTTGTCTGCGAAGAAGCCTGGGTAGCAACTCGTGCATTGCGTAGAGCCTATCTCGCTGGCAAAGGTACCAAAGTCACCTGTTGACTGCGGTGCGGTGAACCCCGGAACTACACCGAGGCCCTCTCACGAGTTGGTGTTTCCAGTTTGCAACAATCTTGCCAGATTGATTCTCCAGTAGGGGCAGGCCATAGGTTGGAGGCCATCGCTATTGGGTTGGAGGCCATTTCTATTAGGTTGGAGGCCATTGCCATCAGTAAATCAAACGACTATTGTTTATTTTAGATTAGTTCTCCACTACAAGCTGGAAACTACCTTCGCCGAGCCGCAAGGCGTGCAGGAAGCTGCTCCGATCACGTTGGAGAACGTCCCGGCTTGGCATGGTTCGGGCGCACTGCCCGCGCAATAAAAGCCTTCAGTTTGGTTTGAGGTGAGGCAATGACTAGGGCCTTCTGGATTGGTTGTTTGGTGAATGCTCACTTGCCTGGAGAATGCTCCTCATGGTTTTGTCTGCTCCCTGTTCTTTGAAGATTGCACATTGAAGCAACTTCTCAACTATGCCAAACTGTTTCCCCTAACTGTCCCCAACCAAGAAACCATGTCTCTGTGGGTTGGCTCCTATCCTACCCCCTCGGTGCAGTTCACAAAAACAAGTCCACACGCCTCGCTTCAGGGATAAACATAATAGACATGTAAGCATTCTAAGAGTTGCCAGGCCTTTGGGGCAGGCTTCGCACTTTCTTGTCGCTTCGTCCTTGTAGAAGCCAATGCTGCAATCAATGAGCTCCGCTGGAGGCATTGGCAACTTTTGGCCATTCATCCAGTAGACCCCATCGCCTGGGCAAGTAACCCTTCGATTGGATGCTTGAGAGACGGGAACGTCATCAAAGAAACAAAAAGCACCTATATATATATACTGTATATCATTCTATATCTACATTACATGTTGTTCTTTCGATTTAGCTCTTTCACAACTGAAGACCCTCAAATGCACCAACCCTTCTGCAGCTTTGTGAGCAGGCCTGACATGGTCTTGCCATGCCTTTGCAACAGGTTTGTGTTGGCGAGCGGGCGGTTAATGGAGAGCAAGCAGCACGACTACTGGCAACCGCACAATCGATCATGATATATCATAATCAACCCAGTGTTCCATGATATATCACTGAAAGTGTTCATCTTTTACACCCAGGATTCATGATGTCAACAAACTTCGCTGCTTTGTGCCTCCACCATCCTCCACCCACAAACCCACGTGCTTTTCGATCGGATTTGCTCAGTGTGGAGGCGAAGCAGTGGTGACACGGTCCGCGCCTGGAAGCTCAAGCTGGTTGGTGGCAGCGTGGAACATGCCGGTGATGTGGAACTCCCCATCAGGTTCCTTGTTCCAAAACTGGTAGGCCGCGAGCCGGTCACCGTTGGGGTCGAAACTCACCTGAGTAGCGTGCGACGGGTAGGTGTGGTTTAGTACATGGAACATTTCTGGGAACAAAATGCAATGAGGGAAGAACAAATTGGGCTCCCACAGCCTTTTGTGTGAGTTTTGGCGAAAGATTTTCTACGCAAGCAGCCCAGGGACCGCTCCCGAGATGCCTTCAAACTGTGTCGTCTTTATTTGGTTTAGGAGAGTCTCTCCCTTGATGTCTGCAAGCGGTGTTCCACTATTCAGCAGGTCATTGATGGCAAGCACGAAGGTATAACTCGCATCGAAAAGGAAAGAATCGTAGACGAAGACCTCGCGATTCTCGAAGGTAGCATCTGTGATGGGAGGAGCTGTAGCTTGACTCAAAGGCACCCTGAAGTTGTCAATCTTATAGCGCTCTCTTGCAGCTGTGGACAACACATCGTCCGCAGTCAGGTTGCCCCAAAGGTCCAACCAATCCACATATTTGGGACCGGTGCTTGAAGGAGACCACCGCATAGCACCAACAGGGAATGGAAGCTCTGTCAAGGATTCACATGCCACGAGTTGCCAACTTGGGCCGAACATGCCTGCATTCTCCATGAGTGGCCACAAGTGATTGCCCAGCGCCTTGGCAGATTTGGCTGTGAACCTAGCAAAGCTAACACATGAATGAGACCGCAAGGAGAAACATATAAAACACAAACACCTCCCCAGCGTGCCAAGGCACGGTGGTGAAGCAAAGAAAAATGAAGGGAGAGCCGAATGACTTTGCAATGTCAATGGCGGCCTGACCTTCTTCCACAACGAAGTTCACCTCAAGCTTCATCGAGCTGCATATTGTAGTTTCTGTTGGCATTTGGATTGAAGGGTATTGATATCTGCATGTCATGTGCAGACTCGAAAGGAATTCACTATTATATGTAGAGGTCCCAAATCCTTTTGAAAAGCATTCCAATAGGAGCGTTCGGACGCTACTACGGGCTCCTGGCCGTACTACTAGTAACTAGCAACAAGAAGCTATATACATTGTTTAAGGGGATTCCCAAAGAGTCCCCGTGCTATCTCAGGTTATCAATCAAAGAGAGGGAAACCTGCATATTGCGCAGGCCAGCGCTCCGGATGCGTCCATCCTCATTGGCCAGATCTGCCTGTTCCCTGATGGCCAAGTAAAGGCCTTCACCTCAGTTTGACGGCTCCTAGAGTTGAGGGACAAGGGCTCTGGAGGAAACATGAGGTAACATAAAGCAAGCTAGGAACAAGAAGCTACTAGGGGCTCCTGGCATCGCTACTAGGGGCATCCTACCGTGTCGTGGAGTGACCCAAGTACGACTACGGAGTACCAAGCACGACCGATGAGCGCAAACCCACACATCACCTCCTTTATCAATTGTTCTGGCTCCGCCTCCCAGTCTCTCGGTTCGGAACAAATCACGAGGCCCAGAGTTGCAACACATGTGTTAAGTACGTTGAAAAGTTGCACATCTGAGAGTAATAAAAGCAAATTAAAGTAGTAAATCTGTTGAGCTTTATGTGGCCTACATCATTGATATGCTCCTGCGACAAAGCATGGCAAAGTGCAACAAATATATCATATCATATATATATATATATAAACACATATAGCTCCTACTCAACCAACACAAAGCAGCTTAAAGCAGCTTCAAAGGTTCGGGCTTTCCGCGCCGCGGCATGTTGATTAAAGGTTTGACACCACAGGTTCCATTCGAGTCTCGATCTGCTGTCCAGGTTGATGCTTTGCAGCTGCAAACTCGCATGGTGAGCTAGGTACACTGCATGACATGTTGCCGGCACCCCAACCAGCCCGACGGAGATGTTCTCCGACTTTGAAAGTCAGTCCGCTGCGTGGGGCGGCGCAGGCAGCCCCAAATCACAAAAAAACAACACAAGGTGTTGAATCAAGTCTTCAGCTACCATAGGGCTCGATGCCATACAAGCAAACTACCATTGGCACTTGGAATACGACGACCCAATTCCAGAATGCTCGGCCCTGAATGCTATCTGGTGGCACTGTCCTGCTATGCGCTCACGTGACATGTGGCTTGGCTAGTAATGATTAACGATCATCCTTTACTTGATCTAGATTGATAATATTGGCATATCTTGGCCCAGGCCCAAAGGACCCAAGCGCGGAGTTAGATGGAACGCAAATGCTTACTTTTGATGTCTGCTACATGTTGCTACTACGGCTTCTCTTTAATAAAGCCGCTGGCTTCAAGTGGGTCGTTTGCCACGCGGGTCATCTGAGTCGCCCCCCGGTCCTTAAGAAGTACGGAAAGTGCTCCTTGTTGGACAAAGCAGGGCTGGTCGCTCCAAAAGCGATCTGGGGGACCTTCTGTGTGGCTGCGATGCTGGCAACTGGCATGGCAATGCCAGAATATACCTCACGACAGCGGGATCCAGCTTGCGCACAGAGTTCCAAACGCTTCTGCACGACACAGCGCCCCTGCCTTGTTTTAGAGCATGAGCCAATGGGAGGCGACTCAAACTAACAAATTGTGGCGCAAACTGGCCTTATATACAACGTAAAGGCTTTTGACATCTTTTGCTACGAGTGCAAACTATCGCAATCTTTGTTTCAACCACACTGTGGCATCGAAATCATGTTAGGAATATGGCATTCAGTTCTGTGCTTCCAAGATTTGGTTTCTGCCATCTTCTGCTTCTACATAGGCACCAACTGGGGCCCCAAACCTGCATGTTGACGGGCTCTCCCTCTCTCTCTATCTCTCTCACCCCATTATTTCTGGCATATATATGATATCATTCATATATGTGTATTTTGTAAGCATGGCGTCAGGGTTTCAGATCAAGGCTCAAATTGGGTTTGTTATTGAACACTTGCTGTTGAATCCCCATAACAATCATAACAAGTCCTTAATCGAGTTTGGCAGTGCAACAGCAGCACAGGGTCAGCCAGAAAACTCGCCTACCTTTATGACTGGCCACATTATCATGCTTATCTATAAGCCACGCAGAACCATTCAAACAAACACCAGACAACACCCATCCTAGCTTCACAGCAAGTAAACGCTTCGTTGGCTGGATAAGCTAGGGTGCTCCGCCCACCAAGCCCACGACTGGGGTCTCTCCATCCAAGCCAAGCGTGAAATCCAACGCAGTGCCCACACCAATATCCGTCATTGCGTGACTGGTGCCGATGCGAAATGTGATGTTCGCTACCTGCCGTTTGACACATTCCAGTTGAGGCCACTGGCTTTCATTGGATTGGCTGAACCATGCTGAACCAATTGGACCATTGTTTCAGAGAACTTTTTGTTTAAACACCCAGGCGAGACGCCCCCGGGTGCAAGTTGGGGATCTGAATGATGGGAGGCCCGTAACGGGCCCGGACGCTCGCGTCGAAGTTCTTGCGTAGGTCCAGGTCAAAGGTGACCACCACGGCTATGTGGAGCTGTGTAAAAGTGGTCATTGCCTTGACATGAGCTCTGAACGCGATGGCCTCCACCCAGTAGCGTCCTTGCTCCTAGTAGCGATGGCCTCCGACCTACTTGCGATGGCCTCCACCTAGTAGCATCTTGCTACTAGTAGTAATGGCCCCCAACCTAATAGCGCGATTATCCTTCCTGAAGGTGGAAGGAAGCCTAGCTCTTTGAAGGAGGATCGCACAGAATCTCCTATGGCATAATGGACCCAGTGGCGCCATAGATGCCCAGCGCCAACTCTTGCGCATTGGCACAAAGGAGCACAGCTGCCCATGGCAGCAGCATGCCGTGTATGGTTTGGCCTTCTAATGCTTTCTGCGAGGTACAGCGTTTGTTTTGGTGACTTCTCCCTGCCGTGTTTCCAGCGCGCCTCCAGCTGCAATGGCTGCATGGATCGTACCCAGTACACATTCCCAACATATTTTCTCAGCTTCACGATAAACCATCTTCAATCTCATCTCAGAACATGTAAAGCTCAAAATTATCAAAAATCGCTCAAACCCAAAACTGAGGTTGGTCAGCCTGACACTTTCCTGTTAGTTTGTGAACCTACCGCCACTGTCATGGCTCATTACAGAGCCACTAGTGCATCAACGTGAGACCCTCACGCTTTGCAAAACAGGCTGCCTAGCATTCAGGCCCAAGCCACCCTTCTGCGTAGATGAGTCCAAAGATTGAGAGGCATTTCCATTGCATCGTGCCATTGACAAGTGTGGCCGTGTTTTGATTCGATGCTATAAATCAGTTGGCTACCGGCTACTGTGAAGCAGTGCGCAAGTATGGTCTGAGTCTGTACAAACTCAGATTGGCATGACCTCTTTCAAGCAGCCTTACACCCTTTGGAAGCCGGTCGTTGGCTGCAGGGGCCAGGTGGCTAAGGCTAAGATAAACTAATTAAGTAACTACGAACACAACTTGGATCCACACGACGAAGGTGTCAGCATGGATGGTTCAGCACGACACATCTTTTTAAGCTGACCTGCTTGCGGAGCTCCAGTGGCCTGCAATCACCGAAAATGGGCGGCCCACGGGCAGCTAGGCATGGGGGGAGGTGAAACCACCAAACATGATCCAAACCGATATGAGAGCATTTGGCATTAAACCGCGATTCGCACACTCATTCTCAACCATTCTCCACCCCGTGCATTCTGACACCCCAAGATAGGTAGCCATTCTCACACCCTGTGGCCAGCCTGTCGCAGCCAGCGCAATTGACTTTTGTATCCGTCGAGCGACCGTAGGTCGGGCGACCGCATCTGGCAGCTGCAAAAGTCGGTGAAACGGGTTTAGGGCACTCCCTTGTGCTGGTGCACTTGTGCCTACTGTGCTCTCCTTGTTCCGGATTGGCCAATCCCAATCGTTGGGAGCGTTTGGGAGGTGATAGGAATCACCCGCTCAGTACCAAACATCATTTAAACAAATACTATTTGTCACATACTGCTTCCGTGTAACCCCATTATATAGCTTCTCAAGCTTCTTCCTGGAGAGTTGTTGGGTCTAACCTCAAGGATGTCTCAAGATGTTGAAATCTTGAGAGTAGGGATTTGTGGTCAGGCGGCCCACGGCCTTTCGCCAAGCTGCATCCTGCCATTCAACCTCCATTTGGCCAAGCTGCCATGAAGGAGGGTCGAAGGTCGACATCACAGCCAAGGCCAAGAGTTTGTTTATGTTTTTTTTCATTATCGCTATGCGCAACTCTATGGAGAACCAACAAAACACAACTGACGAAACACCAATGGACAAGTGGGCGCTTAGCAGTTCTGTTTCCCACTGGCATTCCAATTTGGCCTTGCGGCTTGAGCATTTACGAAGGTGTGGAACGTGCAATCCACGCTCTAATGTCGCGGGAGACCAAATTTGAAGGAATTTCCGCGGAAAAAGAGTTCTTCGGCAGGTCGGAGAATATTGCAGAGCATTGCAAGAATCAAAGATCCACTGACCAAGTTCACCATGAAATCCGACACCCAAGAATTTGGGATCTATTTGAACTATGCATGCTTGAATGAGAGGAGTCAGTTGGATCTTACTTCAAGAATTGCGATATGCTAAAACTTTGGAAAAATGTTGCCTTTTGAAAGGCATGGTGAGAGCCTACTTGTTTAGACTTCCTGGATCTTGTGCAAGTGTGCTTCAGAAGCTGAAGGTCCTGCGAGGGTTCCAAAGAGCAAGAAGCAAAGATGGGAAGAAGGACAAAAAGGAAGAAACTCCCCTGAGTCAGTGCTTGGACAGTGTTTAGACTAGACGTTTGAATGGTTTAGTTTAGAAGAAACAAAAGCAGTGCTAAAGCAAATGATGGCTGACTGTGCTCCATGGAACTGCCTGGTCACCAATAAGGCCTGCGCAACTTGGGCAATGACTCTTGACGCCATTCATTGGACAAAACAACACATCTGACTGGGAACGATGCCTGGCTGGGACAGTCTTACTTGTGGTCGTCAGAATCGTGAGCACCCCTTTGGAAGAGTGTTTGGCAGGAGCAACAGTAGACTAGAACATGACTAGAACCAGTACTACGGGGCTCTCTCCATGTCTAAGCCACATCGCCGAACATGACTAGAACCAGTACGGGGCTCTCTCCATATTTCAGCCACATCGCCCTATTTCCGAAGGCCACGACCCAAAAGAGAAGAACCCACACCTCGCACGCTTCGCGATCCCCATGCACAGCCGAAAGCACGAAGTCGGGGGCCCCGAGCTCGGCGACCAAGTCCTCCATGGGTTTCCAGTGGGTTTTGGTGGAGGATCTATGTGGAAGAGGAACGCGGAATTGTTGGTTTCTATTTAGATCTTGGCTGGTCTTCTCTTGTTTTCTTTCGCATGCCCTTCTTGCTGAAGCGGGAGCATTTGTTGAAACTGAGGGAAGGCTAGCTAAGCTCATGATGCTCATGCCAGGGTTGCTGAACATGTTCTTGGGGCTCAGTTTTCATCATGAGTTGACCAATGCCGTTTCTTTGGAGGCCACTGGGAAACAGTTCTCACATGGTGGTTACAAATCCGTCGAAGCGCAGTGCGTTTGCGAGTGCATAAAACGCAAGAACCGAACGATTGGCATATGGAACGGCAAGGGCGTGGAAACATCACCGCAAAGAATCCTGGGGAGTAACTTCATGTATTATGCATCGTTTGGCCAACATTGATGCCTTGGCATATCTTGGCATGGGATTCCCAGCAAAATGCTTATTTATCGGCGTGGCTTGCTCAGCTTGCCAAGGTCAATCACTTGAATCGAAAAGTGGCCTCAACAAGAGCGGAGAGATGCGGAGAGAATGGTAAAGCCAGGTGAACGTTGAGACCAAACTTCAGGTTTTGCCCTATGCGATTATGCCGGAGCCCATGGGGTCCTTGACGGATATGTGAACTGTGCCCCGGATAGTTGCTTGTATAGATTTTCCTAGTGAGCCTGTTTGAACAGTCCTGCCGACTGGCTTGGGCTCAGTAGCTACGGATGTTGCATCATATAATGTCATATCATCTCATTGCATTGACTTGAGGCCAGGGGGAGGAGGTCGAAAGCTAGCCGAATCGCACCGGATGTACTACAGTAGTTACATAGTCGGCAAAGCATGTAGTGATTACATGTTTTGGGAGAAAGGTTGCTACGTACATACTTTGCGCTAAAGAATGTACATGTGACATCGCCGACTGGGAAGGGTACATTGGAACTCGTTGGCAGGCACGAAGATGCGTGATCGGCAAATCTGGGGGTTAAGTTTACCCCCCGCTTTTGTATGCCTTGAGTCGGAAAGAGGGGTGAGCATTTCTGACATCACACGGACTGTCCATACACTAGGGCGTCCGTAGTGTAGGAGAAGCACGGGTAAAAGGCATATGGAATAGAGTGTCTTGAGGAAATAGCCGGCTTATGGCTATTGCAAATCTGGGGGTTAAATTTACTGTATCCCCCGCTTATGTATGCCTTGTGCCGGAAAGAGGGGTAAGCATTTCTGGCATCTCAAGGACTGTGCATACACTAGGGCGTCCGTAGTGTAGGATAAGCATTGGTACAAGGTATAAGGAGTAGAGTGTCTTGAGGAAATAGCCGGCTTATGGTTATGGCAAATCTGGGGGTAAATTTACCCCCAGCTTATGTATGCCTTGAGCCGGAACGAGGGGTAAGCATCACAAGGACTGTGCATACGCTAGGGCGTCCGTAGTGTAGGATAAGCACTGGTAAAAGTTATCAGGAATAGAGTGTCTTGAGGAAATAGCGACCTGGGTGGTAAATTTACCACCCGCTTATGCATGCATTAGGTTAGAAATAGGGGTAAAGAACTTGTAACAGTGAAGTACAAGTCCTATGCAGCAAGCAGCAGCCAGCAGCAGCAGCAGCAGCCAGCAGCAGCCGCCAGCAGCCAGCAGCCAGCAGCAACCACCAACCAGCAGCTAGCCAGCAGCACCACGCAGCAGCAGCGCAGCACCAAGCCGCAGCGGCAGCAGCAAGCAGCAAGCAGCAAGCAGCAAGCAGCAAGCAGCAAGCAGCAGCAGCAGCAGCAAGCAGCAAGCAGCAGCAGCAGCAGCGGCGGCGCCGTCAGCAACAGCAGCAGCAGCAGCACCAAGCCGCAACAAGTAGCAAAGCAGCAGCTACAAAAGCGGCAACCTCAGGCAGCAGCAAACAGCAGCAGCAAGCAGCAGCACCGTTTACACCAAGCCACCGTTTACACCCAACCAAGCACGTTCACACGTTCAACCAACCCCCGCTACACGGCGCAACTGGGAGTCGAACCGTGGGGGGGGGGAGCGGGGGGAGGGTTAGCGTGATATATCAAGCTTTAAGGCACACAGTTCATCCCACTACCAATTGCTAAAGCAAAGAAGAACTCAGCTAGCATGCTAGCTTTCGTGATTTTGCCAAACCACACATGTCCAAGACAGTAAAATCAAACACTTTGCTCTCAGGTAATGAAGATTCATCAACTGACGATGCGCAGCCGAAATGTTATGTGATGCATCCACAAGAAAAAACGAGCAAATGATCATGCTTCCGACGAAGCTGACCATGCTTCCGACAAAGCTCGTCAATGAATCCTAAATACAAACACTAAATCAGTGGAAGTATCAGTGGATGTTTTGCAAAAACGCATGCAAAATCCCATGAGTGTCATCTTGATTCTCCAATAATTACATGTGTTTCCGCTATCCAGGATCATCATCCAAAATTCAAGTGCATGATGTCTTTGACATCCTGGTTTTGAACGCACACCCCAAAATCCAAAATACCAAACAAAACACCAACAATTTCCAACATGTAACAACACCTCCACTAATGCCAAAACGCCTGCAGCTGG